ATCAGCCTGCGAACCAAAAGGTCACTGGTTTGATTCCCAATCAGGGCACACACCTGGGTTGTGGGCCGGGTCCCTGGTTGGGGGTGTGTGAAAGGCAACTGATTGATGCATCTTCTGCACACTGATGTTTCTCGCTGTCTTTCTCCCTCCCTCCCCTTCTCTCTAAAAGTAAATAAATAAAATCTTTTTAAAAAGAGAGAGATGATAGTCCTAAGTTTATAGAGAGCCGCCACTGGTGGAGTGAAGTAAACAGAGTGGCAGGAAGGAATAGTGGTGACTCAGGATGAAAAGAGCCAAACACATGTGGTGGAGGCTGACTTTCTCCACAGGCACGTTAGGGGAGTCTGGCCTGCTGTGGAGAAGCTGACATGAGGCTCCAGCATCCTACAGATAATTGTAGACCCCACACCCTCCCAGAAAAGGGGCCCAATCTGATCAGAATAAGATCTCACAACCCCCTGGATTCCGGGCAAAACCACCTTTAAAAACAAAACACAAATTCTACCTTCTAGGTGAAAGGTGGACCTGATGAGTAAGGATCCCTGACTATAAAAATACAAGAATGATTTATATGTCAGCATCCTTAAGATCCTGAAAAGTGCATCCATTAAGGACTGCCTAAGAAGTAGAAATTTGGTTAATCTGTTACCTTAAGAATAATTCAGGTTTGATTTTCTTTTTATTGATTTTCTAAAAATACAAGTAAAAGTAACATCATTTAAGCAGGATGTTTGATCACTCTTAACCATTTAATAGTATTACTTATTAGGAAAGGAACACTTTAACAGTCAGCAAAAATGGGCTCCAATTTTTAAGAGGGGGCGCTCATCACACAGTCGGTTGCTTGCCTTGCACTGCCCTCTTCCTCCCGTCTGAGTCCAGCCAGAGGGGGTGGGAAAAAAAGCCCTGGAGGCTGGTGCTCAGAGAATGCCTCACTGGGAAAATTTAAATACAGTTTCTATATTAGATGACACTATTAAATCTATGTCAGCTTTCTTGGATATGATAGTATTGTGATTATGTAGATGAATGTTGAGGAATGTGGAATTTTTAGAGGTGGAATTTTCTCTTGTCTGCAACTTGCTCTCATTAAAAAGATGGAGAGACAGATAGATATGAGAGGCAGAGATAAGTAAACACGACAAAAGTTAATTATTTGATCTCCATGAAGAATGTATGGGTGTTAATCGTGCCATTCTTTTCACTTTTTGGAAGTTTTAGAAATATTCAAAGTAAAATATTGAGAAAAATATATGAAAAGAATATGTCCTCCCTGATCTCTGGTGACTGCAGAAGTTTCTTTGAATCACTTGTCTGTTTTCTGCAGAACTGGAAGGCTGACACCTGTGAAGGCCTCTACAGCAGTCATCACGTTATATCTAGCTCATAATCAAAGTTTTCTGAATGTTTCAGAATTGTTCTAATAAGGATCCCAAATGAAGTTTCCACATTGAATTCGGCTGTTTTCTCTCCTAAGTGTTATTTACTCCATAACTCACTTTTCTACCCCATGCCATTGATTTGTTAAACTAGGTCACTTGTCTTGTGGAATGTCCCATATTCTGGATTTGACTGATTGCTTCCGCTTGGTGTCCTTTTAACTTATTCTCCAGAGGAAACTACTTTTAACAGTTTCTGTTTTTAGGTTTTTTTGTGATTACCTTGAAATTTCTAAATGTGCTATTTCTTCATTTAGATATCTTGATGAGCGCAAATTTAGCTCTCTTGTTCTGCCTCCTGTTGGGGACCGCCCTGCCTGGTATCAGAAGCTGTAACCCACGCCAAGGCTAAGGCTGAGGGAATGACCTTTGGACCGTAAACCAGCAAGGAGACAAAAGCTTATCTCCCTGGCAGGAGTGCTGCTTCTGCTGCTTCATTCATAACTAAACCCCAAAGCTTGGTCGGTTAGCCAATGATGGGTAAGATTCCCCAAGGGGAGAACAATCTAAGACAGGCACGATCACATGGGAGGCCCCCAAGAAAGGACTTTGGGGGCTACAGCAAAAGGGGGTGATGGACCCTCGCCCCTCAGCTTTGACATAGCCTGAGTCCTCATCATCTGGGAGAAAATCTCCTTATCCCTTGGTTTCCTAACTTCCGTTGCTTCACCTAAGCCTGAAACAATGACAGGGTGGTGCAGCTCTGTGCTGAAAAGGGCGGGTTCCCTGGGTGATCAGGCCTAAGAAAGAATATGTAAAATTCTGTGAAACCTGCTTTGTTTAGAATGCTCTCAGTTGGATGATGAGGGTCCAGGGAAGAAGTAAGTTTGTTCCTTAAAGGAACTCAAAATAGGCCCTCAGACTTCCTTGTTACCTATTGTTTGATCCTTACTTTCTAGCAATGAGTAATGAACTTTATCTGAATTCTTATGCAAATGAAACCAATAAAAAGCCTCTCCAGCAGGGATCGGGGTGCTCTCTCCCCACCAGAGAGAGTGGCCATTTTGTTCCTACTTCCCCACAGGACTTGGTTGTCTCTGTGTATGTCTTTCTCGCATTTTGATGAGCCATCCACAGCGTTGTGCGATCACTGCCGCTGGTGAGCATGCGACAACCTCCCTCCTCCCAAGATAATTTTGTCACTAATGTCTGCTTTCCCTACCAGTCACCTCTTTGATTTCAGACCGTATCTTGGAACCTCTATCTGTTACTTCACCAACCAAGAGAGCTTCTCTTGTTGAGGGCATTTTTGCCCCGATGGTCCCCTTCACCTGCTCTTTCTACCCTTGTACTTCCCAACCTCTGTCAGTGGCAACTTTGGTTTTCGGTGTTCCAGGTGGATAACATACTCTTTTCTGTAATCACACTTCAGTCTTCTGCGATTTGTCTGTGAGTTTATTCCAAAACTGTAAAAAATAAGAAATGACCATTTACGTGACTATGACTTTTCAGATTTAGCTCAGTGTAGAGCCAAAAACTACCATTTGGTTTCCTCTTCAGTGTAAGAACCCCTGTATTTAGTCACAAGAGAATGTCTCTTGCATTGCATGAAAACACATTCTGCATTTTTTACACTCTACCAATTGTACCAAATCACGTCATATTTTAACTTGCTCTCTATTCGGTCCACATTAGGAATGATATGTGGAAGTGTGGTTTGAACGGACCATCCTAGCCTCAGCCTACATAAGGACTATTTTTGAACAATGATAGAGGAACAGAGCTAATATTTCCAAAATATAAAGAACATTCCCTTATGAACGGGAAATGAATCTGGAACAGTCCATTTAAACCACATAATGGAAGCCTTGACTACCAGGCCAAGCAGTTTGAACTCTGTAGGTCCTAGTGGGCTCTTGGGGATTTTTAAGGAGTGCAAGGTACTTGGGCTTAAGCCTTCTTGGAAGTAATCTCCCAAAAACGGTGGCCCACTAGGGCAAGGTAACTCCAGAGTACCATTGTTCACCCCAAAAGTGCCCACCACTTAAGGGAATTAGGTGGACAGAGGGCCCCAAAGGGCCTCCAAAGAACCCATGAATGGCTCCATGGATTTTGACAAGTATGTAATACCATGTAGTCACCATCTTAGTATTATACAAATAGTGGTATGGCCCTAAAAATCCCTGTGCTCTACCTATTCATCCCTCTCTTCCTCTTCCCAGTCATAAGAGAATAAGAAACTCCCTTTTAAGACTTTTGAGGTTTATAGTCAAATTACTCTATAAAATGTTTGTATCCAAATACCAGTGGTGTGCGAGAGTCCCTATTTTGTCACTCTACTATTATTATCATCAATAATATTGAGTATTATTATTTTTGATTTTAGGGTAATTGATATCTCATTTATATTAGAACAAATAAATACAAAAAAGAGAGATAGGACTCTTGGTTACAATGACAGATTTAATACAAGCCAGCTTAAGCAAAATAGGGGGTTTATTGTCTCATTCATCTGGATGCTGGCCTCCTTGGTTGACTTGATTCAGGAATTCAATTGATGTCAGAGAATATGCTATTCTTATTCTTCTATTGCAGACAGGCTTTTAAAAAAATTTTATTTATTTATTTTTATTTAAGGAGGAAGAAATGGGTGCAGGAAGCTCTAGGCTTATGTAATTTCAGTTCAGGAGGCCTCCTTGATTTAATTCTACATTTATCAGAGCTCATTTTATTGCCGTGATAGAAACCCAGTTTCATCTGACTTAATCAAAATATGTGAATACATTGGCTCATGAAACTGAAAAGTCTAGGGAAGAGGATCTACTTTCAGGAACTGCTAGATCTAGGTGCTCAAACAATGTCATCAGAACTTGATTTTTATCTTCGGCTGGTTCTCCTCCTTTTTGTCTTTATTTTCAGGCAAGCTTTCTCCACTGGTAGGCAAAATGGTTCCCGGCAGCCCAGGCTTAAAAATGACACAGAAGTCTCGTGAGCCTTTAAGGAAGTACCTCATTCTGATGGTTCCAGCAAAGGATGTAAGGAAGACTTTGGTTGGCCTGGCTTAGACACCGTGTTCCTCCCTGAGCCAATCCGTGTAGCGGGAGTAGCCATAGAAGTCTGGAGTGTATCAGGGCCCTTCTTCCTTGGTGGGTCCTGAACTCTGTTTTCTCTAACCAGCACCATGAAACTGTCGAAAGCTCTGCTTATCTTCTTAGCAGATGGTTTCTGCTTGATTTCTTGCCTTCTCACCTTTGCACAGTTAAAGACTTCGTCAGTGTCCCCAGGGCAAACGCCACAGGAAATATAGGGCTCGCTTCTGCAGTGCTGGCTGCAACTTTCTCGGACTGCAATTTCTGTTTCCCTGCACCCGTGGGGCTGCTGAGAGCTCTGCCCTGCCTTACCTGCTACAAGTTAGCAGGAGGGTTTGTGGATTTTATTTTCTCATTGAAGGATTAGTCATGGTCATCAGTTGAGAGAGTAAAGGACATAAAGGAAGTGAGAGAGTTGAGGTGGTGAGGTGTAATGAAATAGTCTTCGAAGACTTCCTTCAGGTTAGCTTGTTAACAGGCAAGCCAACCGCTGAGGACAGCCATCAAAACTGGGGAGAGCTGCGACGCCAGCGGCAGCGACCCCATTTGCTTATCCAGGAGCGTGGTTGCCTACGCATCGCCCTAGAACTCGGTCGCAACAGTGTCCCTGCGCAGGGCACCCGAGATTGTGTCGTCTCACAGGGCTCTGTGGAGGCGTCGTCGTTGCACAGGAACCACCGGACCAGAGTGGGAAATGCCAGGAAGCCATCAGCACAGCCATGCCCAAGAATAAGGGTAAAGGAGGTAAAAACAGGCGGAGAGGTAAGAATGAGAATGAATCTGAAAAAAGAGAATTAGTCTTTAAAGAAGATGGACAAGAGTATGCTCAGGTCATCAAAATGTTGGGAAATGGACGATTAGAAGCAATGTGCTTTGATGGTGTAAGGAGGTTATGCCATATCAGAGGGAAGTTGAGAAAAAAGGTTTGGATAAATACCTCAGACATTATATTGGTTGGTCTGCGAGACTATCAGGATAACAAAGCTGATGTGATTTTAAAGTACAATGCAGATGAAGCTAGAAGTCTGAAGGCATACGGCGAGCTTCCAGAACATGCTAAAATCAATGAAACAGATACATTTGGTCCTGGAGATGATGAAATCCAGTTCGATGATATTGGAGATGATGATGAAGACATTGATGATCTTGTTGAAGCACTGAAACTGTAATACACTTCAAAGGCCTTATTAAAATGGAGACCTGTTAATATCTAAATTGAACTTAAATTTTTTGAGTATTATTCTACAGTTTGGATTTCAGCCATCACCTGTTAAGAAGACTAAAACTTCACATGAATGCAGTTTGTTAAGGCATATCAATTTATTTTCATGGTTTTAAAGTATTTGTATTTTTCTTTTTAAAAAGTATATTTTATTGATTATGCTATTACAATTGTCCCAATTTTTTCCCCTTTGCCCCCCACACCAGGTACCCTCTTCCTTCCAGCAATCCCCGCCTTAGTTCATGTCCATGGGTCATGCATTTAAGTTCTTTGGCTACTTCATTTCCTATACTGTTCTTAACTTTCCTCTGTCTATTTGGTACCTTCCAAATATACTGCTCAACCCCTGTACATTTTCCCCCATTCTCCCCCTTCCCCATCCCTGCTGATAACCCTCTATGTGATTTGCATTTCTATGATTCTGTTCCTGTTCTAGTTGTTTGCTTAGTTTTTTTTGTTTTTGTTTTTTTAGATTCAGTTGTTGATAGTTGTGAGTTTATTGTAATTTTTGTGTTCATAGTTTTGATCTTCTTTTTCCTAAGTCCCTTTAACATTTCATATAATAGGGGCTTGGTAATGATGAACTCTTTTAGCTTTACCTTGTTTGGGAAGCACTTTATCTGCCTTTCCATTCTAAATGATAGCTTTGCTGGATACAGCAATCTCGGATGTAGGTCCCTGCTTTTCATCTCTTTGAATACTTCTTGCTAGTCTCTTCTTGCCTGCAAAGTTTCTTTTGAGAAATCAGCTGATAGTTTTATGGGAACCCCTTTGTAAATAACTCTGCCTTTCTCTTGCTGCTTTTAAGAGTCTTTGTCTTTAACCTTTGGCATTTTAATTATGATGTGTCTTGGTGTTGTCCTCTTTGGGTCTGACTTGTTTGGGACTCTCTGTGCTTCCTGGACTTGTATGTCTATTTCCATCACCAAATTAGGGAAGTTTTCTTTCATTATTTTTTCAGATAGATTTCAATTTCTTGCTCTTCCTCTTCTCCTTCTGGCACCCCTATGATTCAGATGTTGGCAAGTTTGGTAATGTGCCAGAGTCGTCTTATTCTCTTCTTGATTTTTTTTTTTTTGAATTCTTGTTTCTTCATTTTGTACTGGTTGACTGTTAATTTCTTCCTTATGTTCCAAATCATTGATTTAAACCTCAGCTTCCTTCCCTTCACTGTTGTTTCCTTGTGGATTTTTCTTTATTTCACTTAGTGTAGCCTTCACTTACTTCCTATGCATTTGCTGTACTCACTGAGTTCTCTGAGCATCCTTATCACCCGTGTTTTGAACTCTGCATCTGATAAGTTGGCTATCTCAATTTCGCTTAGTTCTTTTTCTAGAGTTTTGATTTGTTCTTTCATTTGGGCCATATTTCTTTGTCTCCTTAATTTGGCTGCCTTCCTGTGTTTGTTTCTGTGTATTAGCTAGAGCTGCTTTGACTCCATGTCTTGCTGGGCCTGTTACCTTGTAAGGCGGAGTCTTAAGTATTCAGTAGGGCAAGGGAACCACTTCATCACTTTGAAGCACTGTATGTGGGGGAGGAGTTAGAGAGGGAATAATGCTGCTTGCTTGGCTCTCGCCCCTTTCCCAGTCACTTGGGGTGGGGGGATGGGGAAATGGAGACAACTATACGTGAACAACAATAAAAAAAAAGACTCATCAAGTAGGTTTTGAAACATCATTTTTTTTTTCTCTAGAGGTTTTTCTTTTCCCAGCAGAGAAGATTAATGTGAAGGAGATACATCTTTACCTGGTTTTAATTATATATATAACAAATATAAAGGAGAATAAGTCTTCATATGGTTTCACCTCACATGGCTATAATTTTACCTCCCAACTGAAAACTCTAGAGTTAAAATCTGAGGCCAGAATGTGTACATAATTAACTCTTAAGAATAAGAAATAAATGTGTCCAAATGTGGAGGAAGAAACTGGATAAAACCAAACCAAAACAAAACTCCAAGTATTTGAAGAAACTGGAAAGGAGCTAAAGCACCCAGGACATGATGTGCCAAGATCTGGGAGAGAAGGGAAATGCCCTGGAGGGAGTTGAACAGTGTGTGTTGATTTGTCCCCCACCCAGGAAATTCCCTGACTTGCAGCAGCGGGCAGAGAGCCCGAGCACTTTCCACTGCCTTCTGTTGTCCTTAGAACAGAGACCAGACTCCTTACAGGGGCTTATGTATAAGCCTGGCACATATGTTTCTTCTTGTCTGGACTGACAGCCACATTAATATCACCTTCCCCCTTTTTAACAATGCTTCAGCCATACTGGCCTTCTTTCAATTCCTCCTGTTTGGGAAACTCAGACATTCTCTATGGACTTCTCTGTGCCTGGATTAAATTCTCCCACTTTTCTTCTTGGCTCATTCCTATACGTCTTTCAGATGTTACTTCCTCAGAGACCTTCCATGACTATCTCTCTATGCCCTATCCCACCCTGTCTCTAAATTAGACACCACCTTCTCTTCAGTACGTATACATACCACACAGTGAGCACTTAAGTGATATTTACTGAATGAGTGAGTGAAAGACTGCTTGAAGGTAGAGTGGCATGGTGGAAAGAAATCCAAATTTTACCTGGGTGACCTTGGGCAGTCCTTTAAACGTTTGGAGGCAATTTCCTTGTCTCTATAATACAGATAGCACCTGCTCTACTTAGTTCACAGGTTACTATGAACGTCAAATGGGAGCTGGTAGACATAAGTGTCTATAATTGTAAAATGGGACTGCAGGTATGAGTTAGTGTACTATTCACTGACTCAAAAGGAAACCACATATATTCAATCAGCAAAATACGTTGAAAGTACTGAATTAGTGATACTTCATTACAATCATTCTTGTCAACATTTTTAAGGCAAGACTTTTATAAATGGTAGTGAAAAGTAAATAATTCTAGATGAAATCTTTCCATAATATAAAAAGTTTTCTATAGCTAGGTAATAATTTTATTTATAGAATAAGATATCTCTAAAACATGACCTTTAAAGAAGGCTAATTTTAAAGGATGTAGATGAGCATCTGTAACCCATGATGCCTACTATATCGTAGGAGTTCAATCAACATTTGCTGAATGAATTTTCTTGTGTTGCATTTCCTATACCATCCTTATTTAACAGTAACTGATGATCAAGATAACTTCATATTTAAATAATCTATTGAGTGAAGAGCCCTAACAATTCGACCACTTATCATTTAAGGGTTTAGCATGCTCCTAGAAGTACATATATTTGTGTATATAAGTACTGTGCTCTAACCGATTGCACCACTGGAGCTCCTAGTATGTGTAATTTCACAGTATAACACTAAAATAAGAGAAAATATAGGTGGTACTAACGTTTCTGGAAAATGGAGTAGTGATCATATTTGCATGACCTGCCTTGCCTCAGATAGTTGGTAGGTGGCAGCAATGGACCAGAAATTATGGTTTGTTTAAACAGGACATGGAAAGGGTTAGTTTGAGTGTTAGTATTTCATTAATTTTTTTTTCAAAATAAAACATTACATTTGCAAAGCAAGCGAACAAAAATAAATAAGCATGATGTAACTGATTTACAGAATATGTTACCTAAGCTTTTATGCTCTAGTTTCTTGACAAAAACTTATTTTTGAAAACTCTGGGCTTAGTTTTATTACTATTCTTAGCTTGGTTTTTTTTTTTCCTTAAAATCTTTATTTCTTCTCTTTGTAAGCACTGGGCACTTTATGGCTCCTTTACTGACAGCAAGAGATGAGCTATGTGAACTTTCATTTTGTTTAAGCTTTGGTTTACTCTGATTGTGAAGATTTTGCCCCAAGGCTTTGCATTGGCCAAGATTCAGTTACAGAAAAAATAATCCATTTTAGACAGTTGGCATAGAATTAGCTTTAACATTGGGTATTAAATGGCTTGTGGAGTTGTGGAGACTGATGAAAGAGTCCCTAGGTCAGTGGTTCTCAACTTTAGCTTTATATCACAGGCATCTGGGTTGCTTTCAAGAATATTGATTCTGGAATTCACATTTTGAATCAAAACCTATGGGCATGTATATATGTATAGTTAATAAGCTCCCCTGGTGATTCCAGTGTGCAGCCAGAGTTGAGGCTCATGTTTCAGAATCAACTCTCACTGCAGCACTGGGCCACCAAGAGAGCTACTGATTCTTCTGCAGTCAGAATGTGCTGAATTGGGAAGCTGCTGGTTTGAAATTATGTCTCCCCTGCCGCCACCAGCAAGCTCCTGTAGTCTGGAAACTGCCACCTCCAGGAAGTTGCCACTCCAGAACCCACTACAACTGCCAGTATTAACATACTAACTCATAAAACAATGTTCTGCACCCTGCCTCCTGGTGCCCAAGAAGCTACAGTCACGGTTACCTCAACTAACAATGCCCTGAAAAACTACGGTCCACCATAACTGAGCTATCACAGAACGAGCAGCAGACAGCTGTGTGTGACTCACACTCTCCCTCCACCCATAGCACGGTCCTTTTGATCACAGAATCTCTATCATATAACAAATCCTAATTGCAGGAATGTCTGGGGTATGTAGCTTTAAACTTTCCAACCCTGCAGAACAGGAAAGGAAGCTAGAAAGAGATTTGTGTGGATGTTTTAGAGTTTATACCAATCCAGTGTTCCAACAAAGCCATCATGAAATAGAAGAGTAGTTGTTTTTTTCTTCCTTATTTTTCAGGGACCAGTGATTGAGCTGAAAGTCTGTTCCCATCCTTTACAAACCTTTAGACTCCCAGAACCAGTCAAGCTTTTCACTTCACCCTCCCTTTTCAGAAGTCACTTTGGTTACAATTCAGTTAATTTTGAATGATTTAATTTTATTTCATTCTCCTGATTCTACTTTTGCTGCTATCTCTCAGGCACCCTGTAAATTGATTTCTTACTGGGATTTCAGAGAATTTTATACAAAATAGTTACCAATTATCCAATACTTGATCACTCTGCAAGGTTTAAAAAAA